TGCCAAATGCCAAGGCCAATTCAGATACACATTGACATCTGCACCAAATGCGCAGGAGTGCTTTGTGCGGGCTCAGAGCCAAATTCAGATAGAAAATATACGCTGGTCCACGTCTGAGTTTCTGCGGGGTGCAAGATGCGATACGGAGTTCCGGGTCTCAGTGTCTGAGTGGTGTTTGTGTGTGTGTGTGTGCGGGACCAGATACGCGTGAGTGTCTGCACAGGGCCACACCAGAGCTAAGCACATGTCCGAGTCCGTGGAAACGTCCGGTGTCGTGGGCCATGCCAAAGCCAGTCACATACAGACACGCGCAGGTCCGGGTCTGGGTCGGACGTGATGCGAGGTCCGGGTCTGGGTATCTGTGTCGGGTCTGGGTCTGTGTGGGGCCAGACACTTGGCAAAGACAAGACTGAAAATTTCAGCCGTCAAATGTTAGGGGTTTAAAGCGGAGACCAGGACCTGCCCCAGACTGAAACATGGTGACTAAGATGGAATCTTACTAGCATCATGCTAGTTAAGAAGTCTCACAAACAGTCGTCAAATGTCGTCAAACTTCAGAACAGCCAAGGCACGGAGTTGCGCCGCCCTACGGCTAAAATGTCATCAGCCCTCAAACACCCACTCCGCCACTTTTGGGTGTCTGCACAAATTCGTGAGATCTGGGTGGGGATTGCTCGAAGTCATCACTTGAAGCGAGACGACGACGGTCGCGGCGCCGATGACAACCCTGCTGTCCGAAGGACTGAAGAGCAGAGTGTAGAGCGAAGCGATGATGAAGACGGCATCGCTGGGCTGTGCACCTGGCAGCACACTGAATCCCTGCTGCCTAGTGTCCCTAGCTGTTAACACAAAGGGGACTTCCTGTTGAGCTTGACCATTCTGGGTGTTGAACCCACCAAACAAGAAGAGAACACGGGGGTGACGCTGAAAAGCTGGGTTTTTGAAACGATAGCCAAAGCCAAAATGTAGTTGGGGCTGGTGCCGAATGTTGACAAGCTGCTCGAAGTCCCTACTGCAAGCTGCAAGTGCTTGATATCAAGGCAACTGAGACAATTCAAAGAAGAGGAGTTGCATTGCTCAGCAAGAGCCACTCAGGGGGTCGTGTGTCTGGCGCCCGCAACCACTCAACGGGGAACAACTGCTGGATTCATTTGGCGAGTCAGAACCATCGCTTCTCCTGCCCGGCAAAGCTGCTACAAGTACCCACCTAGCCTGCCACGCAGAGCAACATGCTGGTATGCAAACCCACAACCATTAAACTCAATGCGTCTCAACCCACCCCGGGAACACTTGCTTCTTTGGCAGCAATGGCCCAGCAACATCCCATGGGCGCGCAGCCCTTGCCGTAGAGATCAACTGTTTCTTCTCAGGACTCCTGTCAACACGATGCAACCACTGCATCTCAGCCTTCCTTGTTCCCAACATCACCCTAATAGGACGCTCATTTTAAAATGGCTACAACCAGCAGCTGACGATTACATTCCCCAAAAATGCAGACAAAGGTAGGACGGCTCTCACTGAGGTGCTGGGAGCATCAGCCGCCAGTTGCACTTGGACGCCGATAAAGATCGAGTTGGTGATGATCACCGCCCCAAAGAAGCCTTCGAACCTGACAATGGGCAGATGGAATGGCCATTGGCAAGCCGCGAGAAAGGGGAGCTTTGGCAAACCCGACAGAAATCCACATTGCCAAACCACAACAAAGGGACGTTTGAAGGGACTCCTGTGGCAAGCTGAAGGCACCATTGAAAATGGACTGCCAAATTAGAGCTACAAAGGGTCACCTTTGCCATCTTGAAAGTGCCCCAGTTTGTAGCTTTATGATGTTGGAGCTGATAAACAAGCAAAGCTGGGTCCCCATGCATAGCAACATTGACCAGACATGACAAGACCATGGATTTCCAGGTGTAAACCAACTACTTCTTCAGTCCGTATGCTACATTCTCAAGCTTCACACTTGAGCACAAAAAAGGTCACCTGACTGCAAGACGCCAAAGGCCAATGGCCCAAGCTCGGACAACTCCAAGCTCGGGCCATTAGACTTGAGGGGGTCATTGGGATGCCCAGGCCCCAACTGACGTCCAAGCTTCATTGTAGAGTGAACGATCGGCCAAAGGCAGAGCTGCCAAGCGTAGAACTTGCTCATGTCGACTGAACTCTCAGTACCGCCTGGCGGACATGAAACCTCTTCAAACCCGCAGATGCCGTTTATAGAATGTAAAGCTGTGTGTTCTATACCCAGCAATCGCAGCAATGTGGTTGCTCAGGGCCTCCTTTGAGGTTCAACCGTTCAACCTCGCCTTTTCCTGGATGCTGCTCATTCTCCATAGTTTGCCTGTTAAACCCAACCCCCATTTCATTCAGAAGCCCCCGAGCTCAGGGTAATGAAGATCAACCACAACATGCTACAGCGCAGGCAACAACAGCAGACCGCGTGCCTGCTTGTCGCAAAGGCGTGCAACTAATGGAAACCAACCAGCAAAGGCAACACAGCCGGACAGCTTTCGCGAAAGCTCGAGAATGCACGCTCTCTTGCCATTGAGAACGTAGGTGTGCGACCGTCAACTCACAATCAAGACAACAATACTTTATAGCTTTACACAAACACAAAACAACCACCTGCGCAAAGCTCATGCCTTGTGCTCTTACCATCGTGGAAGAACGAACAAACTTAGCACCCTTGCTAGGCACATGTCTTCAGAACATAGCTCGCAGTGTTGTATGATGGGTGTACGCAGCTATCCAAGTCAGGACTGCCAAAATGTAGCTTGAAATATGTACGGACGTTTATTGTAAAATCATGCGTTCAACGAACTTTGTCGAGTCGACGTAGTACATGCTGAGTACATGTGTTTATGACTTGCGGACGCTTGGACAACCAAGCCGGCAAATGGAAGATTTGTTGTCAACGAACAGCCTGCGAAATCAGAATCACTTCTGGCATGCAAATATCTGTCAGTACAATCATTGCAAACACCTTGGGCTAGGGCAAGTGGATTGTGACAACCCAGGAACAATCAGCTCCTTTAGAACATTAAGACACTTCCCTTCACAATTCATAGTTAGGGAGCAGTGTCAACGCGTGAAAACCAGGTAGCAAGTTGTTGATGCGAATTCCCCACAGAAAACCCGCCAGCTCTGACAACTTGGCTACCGCTTCGCTGCAAGTTGGCACCTCTCTTTCATTCTCTTGCAACTTGCAGCGAAAGGGGGTTTCTCTTCCAGATCCAAACCATGAACAATGTCGAGGTCCCAATGTCAACGTCCCAGAAGGCCTGGCAGAATCTTAAAAAAGAAAACGTGTAAAACAAAAAAACATACTGCTGACTTGTACAAGGCGCTTTTCGCGCTGAAATCGAGGCAGCTCTTGCAATCATTGCACCTTTTGCCCGATTCAACCGTCTCCTGCAAGCTGGGCAGAGGCTTGAAGATCAAACGAACAAGCTGATCATGTACACGGCACCCTTTGATATTGACAGGAACCCACACGGCCCACACGCCATGTTGGGGCTTCCAAATGCGTCGAATGTGACCAAGCAAGGCAAATTCTACTGCAACAAACTGCCAATGTTGGTAGCTTTGCTTGATGAAGCTATGGGATGCACTAGAAACTGGCTTGCTCCCATTGATGTGCTCTCGAGGGCATGAGTGAATCGGATAAAGAAGGGCAAAATGCCAACAATGACGTATTATGGAGTCTGAATGAACGCAGATTCCATGCTGAAAGCAATCAACCTCAGTACCTGCGTTGTTGCCCGACTTTGGATCAAAGCAGAAGGAACACTTACACACCTGGAATGGGTTGCCATCGCAAATCTAATCAAGACCAAGCGGGGCTGAAGAATCCAAGGTCCCGACAGACTCTGCTCCGTACAGCATCCAACTCTGAGCTACGGTTTCGGAAGCGTCAGGGCATCTGCTGCTGAGAGGACTCAGGAGAGCTAAGGCTGCTGTGCTTAGGTGAAATGATCTTCATCCCTATGAGCTTGCCAATCGGCCACGTGAAGGCAGAAGCAAGAAAAGCAGAGGGAAACAACGTGCTTCGTTGCATGCTGGTGAGAGTGGTTTTCTGGCAAGTGTTGACTTGATTTCATCAAGGATGTCAATAAAGGTCGAATTGCACGCATCGACCCTGTGTGAAGTACCCAAACAACGCCTAATGTGTTGAATGCTTCTCTCAGCACAAACCATTCTGATGAACTGTCTGCTGGATTCATAATAAACTGAGACAAATTGGCAAACCCTGGCCGAAAGTCGAAGCAAACTAACAAGCCCTTTATAGGTAGACAACTCAGGTGTCGCTCACCAGGGAATGTGCTTTGGCCCCTCTCCTCGTCCCAAAGGGAGGGCCCAAAGCTCACCGTGGAGTTTCCAGGCTGCAAGTGCCGCACTCCATGGAAGGACTGGAGGGCAGTGTCCTTGGTCCTTGGAGCCAAACGAGTCACGACCATTGGCTCATGATCATAAAGGGTCTGATCCCTAATATTCCCAAATCCTCATACTCCACAAAGTGACACTGTTCAGTGATCGGCTGGGGCCAGCTCATTCCCACCACGGCAAACGCAACATCCTGAGAACCTGCCGAGATGCTTCTTTGGATCCATCTCCGATGGCATTGAGGATAACTCCACCTGGACTCTTGGCTCAAATACGGCCGCTCATTTAGTTTACGGGCTTGAGGGAAACACCGTTAACAAGGAGGTTCGGGGTCTGCGTATTTTGGGCAACAAAGTGTGGATCCGGCTGGTGTGGCGGGCATCTGATGCATTCACCACGCTGGTCTTCATGTACTAACTCTTTTGCAAGTTGAACCTGTTTCGAGAAACGCTTGCTAAAAGGGTTCCGCCAATATACGTCATGATCAAGTTCAAACCAACGTCACCTCTCATTGGAACGCTGGGAGGCGGGGTGGCGAATAACATCCCGTTTGAGTCGAACCCCTTGCAGGTGACCAACACAAAGGCAAAACATTAGAAAATCCCTTGGGGCTTTACCACCACTGCCACCATCAGGGAGGACAGCAAGACCTGCCATCTTCCTTCAAGTCCAAGAAGGCAAAGGAAGCGGGCCCCGTCCTTCTTGTGCTCTCGGAGAAAAATGGTCTGCAGGCGGCACAGCCAGTCTTCCAGCAACTCTAGGAGCTTCTGGTCGCTGTCCTATTTGAGTTCAGAAGCACAAAACTTCTGAGAATTGAGATTCACAAATGTTCAGAAAGCAGGTGGGTCAAAACTAATCGTCCAGGAAAAAATACTGTGTCAAAACACCCACACGCCCGCTCACCTTGCAAAGCTTTGCTTTCCCCTCAACCGGTCGTCGCTGAAACTCTTTGGCATCCCTCTGACACGTGTCTTGGTGCCTTTCCCACAGTCTTTTTCTCTGTGCGATGAGCCTGAACCTGGATTTCGCCCTCATCATGCTGCTGAGCAATTCTTTCTTGTCAAAGCCACAGGTTTCGATGCTTTTCCCGGCCACGGCGGTTGCTTAGAGTAGCACGGACAAGTGTTGTCCGCAAAGTCCGCCCGTCAACTCCGCCACTAAACTCCGTCCGCCCCTGCAGCGGAATGTTAATTTTAGAAGAAGAAAAAAAGCGTTGTAGAGATGTCGCCGTAAAGACAAACAAAAAATACCCTCACAGAGTGCCACGATGAGCGTTTTTGTGACTGCGCTTGCAACCTGAGGTGGGCGCTAGACAGGCCAACTCATCTTGGTCTTTAAGTGTGGGGGGTTCAGGGCAAGTTTACGGGTAGGCGCGAAATCTCGACTCCACTTGGCGGGCTGCGCCTTTCCGCATTGCGATTGCAACCGTGCAAAGCAAAGGCCAGCTCTCTGGGAAACAAAACTCAGCATAGCAAGGGATAGAGTTTGATGCTGGACAATCGAAACACAATAGTTGGTAATGAGGCTCCTTGTCAGCACACCGGAAGGTTGTACTGCAGTGCACTTTTCCATATTGAACCCAAGATGCAGCGTTGAAGGCCTGAAAAAACAACAACACATTTGACCCCCTTCCGACGTGCTTTCAAAACCAAGCCCATACCAACTGGGAACCTGCAAGCTTCTGAAGTCACAATCCAAAAAATCCGCCATCAGCCCAAACCCACGAACTCCAACTTCCATCGCCAACCTTTCATATCACTGCTGTTGGCTTCAAACCTTGGAAGTGTTGCTGGCAAACTCGACCCCAGGGCAACTTCCAAAAATGAAAATAACAACAGTCACGTAAATGCTGAACACTTAAAACACAAAAACACGGCTGCAAGGGCTCTGCAGGACCTGCTGGCACGAGAACTGGTGATCCCTGGGTCTCCTTTTCGCTTCAGGTCATTGTGCTGGACCCTGATTCTGAAAAGCGTCCCATGGTCCAAGATCCATGGCAAAACACGTGACAGGGCCCCCCCAAAACCCCGGAGTGCTTGCCAAAGCAATAAGTTGCGAAAAGAAAAAACAAAAAACAAAGTCCCCCTATCAGGCAGCAGGGACACGTTTCAAGGCTGAAACACTGTGAAAACGTGCTGCCAAAGGACCCGCAAAGGCACGCGCATGCCACACACTTATGTACACATGACATGCGAACCACACCAATCAAACAGTGAAACTACATCACGCCTTTCCAAACCAACGCCTGATGAGCAAGTGACTCCTGGCTTGCCGTGCTCCAAGCAACAATTGCAGCAGGTTGGGGGACAAACAACACACTCTTAGCATCAAGGACTCCAGGCAGCCAAGACCCCGGTCACCCGGTCCTTCAGGGTCTGATCCAAGGACACGGTGGATTTACACCGATCTGACGAATCAACAACCTGAGAGAGAACGTCACGAAGCAAAACACAAACTACAAGAGGGCAAGCAGGAAAACAAGCAAACAAAGAAGCAAACAAAACAAAAACAACACAGACAAGCAAGCAAGCAGGCAAACAAAGCAACAAATGAAGGAAGGAGCGAACGAACGAACAAAAATATATGTATTTATATATATATATATATACACTAGCAAACACACAAACGCAAACACACACAGACACAGAAGCACACAAAAGCACCCTAACACACTCACACACACACACACAACACACAACTACGCAAACACACGCACGCAACCACAAAAACACACACACAAATCAATATACGAGAACACACACACACAAACGCATACTTACAACACAAACACACCAAACACAAACACACAAAATAAACCCCAACACCCACACACACACACACAACCACCCACTCACGCACGCACGCGCACGCACGAACGCACGCACGCAACGCACGAACGCACACAACACAAACGCATCTGTTGTGTTTGATATGTTCCGCTTGACTGGCTGTTTCTTAGGCCCGGATGCTGGGTCAAACGACGTCAAAAGAATGATTGTCATTGTCCAACGATGAATCCCAGTCCCGAAGCCCATCCAGAATGCCAATGCCATTTTGCGATGCTCTCACAAGGGCTGTGAGGAAGCGACATCACATACTGGCGACTCACACAACCCCAAAAAAGCCTCTCTTGTCTTCAAACGGTGCCGGTGAAACCAACTTTGTGTTCTTTTTTTTGGACAAATAAAGGCCCTGCGCATGGCACGGGGAGAGAGCTTTGCGTTCCTTCATTAGTTTTATAATTTAATTATGACAAGCCACAACGGCATTTCAATCGACGGAACATGACGAAATCTGCACCCACCTTACCATAGCAATTGCACAGCCTCCAACTTCAGACGAGGTCTTGCAACGCACCATGATAAGGCAGCCCCATCCACACAAGAACGAAACAATTGAACCACATAATGCATTTCGTGCGCAGCGCGCAACACAGGCACACCAGTCATGCAGCATGAGTTCCAAACCTTGTTCTAAACAACACCCAGGAGCCGTTAACAAACAGCACCTCGTTGCAGGGCCCTGTTTGAGGCTCCTTTTTTTTGTTCGAAAAACAAACCTAGTTCCCTCTTGGGCAACAAACCTCACACTTCACCTAAAAACCGCACACGTTCCGGCAAACCTCACGATGTCTACACATTGTGACATGTTAACCAGATACACAGCTCTAGCACTAGCGCTCACTTGCAACACATCCGGAGTCCAGCCGCGGCACTGGCGGCACTGGCTGACTCTTTGCATGTCCATTGGGCAGCGCCCATTTGCCCTCAACAGTTTTGTCAAGCAGCGCCTGGCGAGGCGAAGGATGCGAGGCGCCTTGAGGATTAAATGCGTTACTCCTCCACGATTCTTCTGAATGTGCATATCTGGGCTACCCGATTTCTGATCCCCCGCTAAAAGTTTAAGTTTTAGTGGGTCAAATGGAAACTACCACTAAACACTAAAAGGCTAACAAGCTAAGGGGATGGCTGGGAGCCACCAAGATATTGAAGTAAGCATGTATGTACATTGGCCCCATGAGCGGCACTTCTGCGGATGGTCATGATCCTCGTCAGAATAACCCTCCCACAGGGTGTTCATGTGCGCCTTGTATGGAGAGTTCAGCATTGACGTGGTCTCTCTTGTGGGGCCAATGCATCGCATGCATTATTAAACTAACGTGCTAGTGAGCCGCCGATTCTCGCAGAATTCTTCAAACGAGCTGTCTTCACACCTGTGAGATAGTTTTGCAAATCAGCTTACATGAGACACCGCTGTGTCACGCAATCACTCAAGCCATGAGCTCGGAAGAATCTGTCTGGCGAAACCTGTGCTCGGGATGCTGTGCTTCTAAATATACTGTTCTGATGCTTAACAAAAGAACAAACCATGGGGAAGGATTAACAAAACTACAAATGCGTTCAAATTCAAAGCTATGGGCCGCCACTTCAAAATAGCTGCGAAGCCCATGATTCAGCTCGACCCCCCCGTGGGTCCAAAACCCAAGGGAGTCTGAAATGGAGACAAATTCTGGCAATGACTTGAACTAGCTTAACATGGACAAAAGCGACGTGCACGTGCTGGGGACACTGCCTTTTCACAAATAGCGGACTGCGCCCAGACTTGTCCAACATCATTACAACTGAAATATCCCACTAAAGCATGCCAAAGCAATTTACAAGCAGTGGCACGCCCCACACTAATTTGTTCTTGACAGCAAATATGACCATGGCCACTCATGAGGCTCTCAAACATAGGGTCCGGCTTGGGAGCCGTAGTAGCAGGGTGTGCTGCCTTTCCATGGGTCCCCTAAAAAAAGGCGACCATTGTCAACCCTCCAACGACCAACCACTCAACTGACCAACAAACCGAACAAACCAAGCAACACGTCTTGGCATTTTGCAGCTGTGAGTTCCATTAGATCCAAGAAAAAGCAGGACATAAATGGACAGCCATTTGTTCAGGAATGCCAAGCTGACTCGCAAGTGGCAACACTACACTCGAACAATGGGCTCTGCCTGGAGGCGTGAGAGCCAGTCATCAACGTGGGCAAACAGCTCAGAATCCCGTTGTCGTAACCAGTCCTCAGTACTTGCGAATGGGGAACTGCTAGCTACAGTGTGTGTGTGTGTGTCTTGAAACATCATTGTCGCTGAAAAGAACACACAGCTCAAACAGAAACTCCACAACCAATTTGTCATAGCCATGTCAGCTGTCACGCACCTGCGATTCATGAAAGTGACTCAACAGTGACCAATCTAGCTTAGCACCCCTTTCCGTCATCGCTGTGAGTCGCACAATTAAGCAGCCAAGTTGCTGCAGACACATGGATATCCTTGTCCATGGATGTCATGGGTGAAACGTTGCACACAATCTGAGTAATTGCCTGATGCTACTGATTGAGATGCTTGCTTGGAACGAGTGTGTGCGTGTGCCTGTGTGTGCCTATGTGCTATGTGCGCCAGTTTGTTGTCTGTGGCTATATCTGAGGCACATGAATTATCTACAGCATAGCGCAATGTTGCGCTCAAAGCAAAGCGTCGCGAATTCAAGTATGGTACATGCATAAGAGAACACGCTAACAAAATAATACCGCCCTGCCACCGCCCTTCTGGAACCAACATGGATCCAAAAATAATAAACTTAGCACTGACACAATTTTCGTGCCAAGTTAAGCCCTTGAGCCAGGACCAGCATGCACATGTCAGCCAGCATTCAAACCGAGGCATATATGGGCAATGTGATGATCTCGTTTCTCGAAGTAACCGTCACCAAACTATAAGCAACTCCATGTCTGTATCATACTTGGCTGGGCTGCATTCTAGCCAAGTGCCTGCACATCCTTAGCTACAGAAAGAAAATGGCCAACGCATGATGAGTGCGCACCTTTCATAGGGCTTATCCAGTTGAAGGACATGTTTCATGAGGCTTCAGTTTCAACCGGAACTTTCCCTTTTGAGCCCCTCCATTTTGCGTCCAACCCGCCCTTCCCTGCGCCTCACCGCTGTCCAAGCTTCTTTGGAGCACCTGCGCATCGGCCCATCTCACAAACTGCAACTTTCAAGTCTTACTGAAATCATGCCAAGCCAGTGATTCATTTAACTCAGTCCGTCCAAACCCCATCTTTGCGACATGTCCACAGTTGCGTTTGGGTGTTGGGAGAGCACCGCCTCAAGCACATTGGCTTTAGAATCACCGAGCTTGAGGACACAGGCCGTCGGAGTGCGCAATTGCTCGCCGCCTTTACATCTGTTTGACTCTTGATAGCCTTACATGATATGGATATCAACTTTGAAGCCTTGTTTGCACAGGTACAAGTATGAAGTACTGCAAGCCTCCAAAGAGCTTTCTCCTGCTTATGGCTATCTCAACGGTGAAAGCTGGCTCCAACGGCTGATCTCCAGCTCAGCGACTCGTGATAGGCATCATTAAGTCTTGCAAACGCGGAGTCCAGACCTGGTTGGATCTGAGGTCCTTTCGAAGCTCACTAGTTATTTTCCTTTTCAGGTCCATATTGAGGTCTTCCTTGGGTTCCTTGTGAGGTTATATATTTGGCGGCATCATTTAATCCGTAAGCTGGCTCACGCACCTTCCCTTGAGAGAGTAAACTCTACTTGTCCATTTAGTACATGCATCGTGCAGGTCACGGCTCTTTTTCCCAACCTACGCGGTTGGTTGTGGTTGGTTGTGGCATTCCTGCTTGGCATGGTTTAAAGTGAAACACCATCAATGCCGTCGTCTCATTCCATGCACGTAGCGCAAACACGGCAGGCGGTTGGTCACCCCACAGCCCAACAGCGAACCTCTCTTAGCATAAACATGTAGGTCACATCACTCTCCCGATGCTGCCATGTGGCAACTATCAAAAGCCGCAAGTATGTTTACACAAGCTACATGAACGCCAATCATGGTGGCCACTCGCCAATAACGATCAGCACAATGGTTTTACTCATCCAGCTGCTGGAGTGGTGGGCTTCTGCACCACAAGCGTAGCATGCCTTTGACATTCTCAGCTTCAAGGCGCCCCATGTATCGAACATCGCCTTGAGGCTGCCTGCTCACGACTCCAAACGCTGTCCGCTGGCCTTGCATCTCTCTTTCAAGAGCCAGGCGCTCCTGTCTTGCCTTTTCCAGCCTGCAATGTGACAGAGCCAGTGGCCTGTAGAGCCTATGCCCTCAAACAAAAGAACATGGCCAGGGGCTAGTCAGGATCATGTGAAAGATGGTCACATGTGATAGTCATTCCCGTCAGCTTTGCATGATTTGGTAAGCTGTGGCATCATGGACGGGCTGGCCTTTGACTAGTAGCCAGTATCCTGAGAAAGAGCACACACACACACACCAAACCACGCCCGAATGAGGGCCCAATCCTTTTAGCGAAGCTTTGCGGCTCAGCCACTCAGCCCCCGGCCTCTGCTCCAAATCCTCCAGCGAGCCAAACCGGGCCTTTCCTTTGGGGCAAAGCCGTGCCTGCGACGGGCCAAACGTCCTGCCTTGGACCTGTCAAGGCCGCATCAAAAAGCCGTGCTGCCCTCCATATCACATGGAACTAAACAGAGGGCCCCCCAAACACGGAGATTCCTAAACAAAACAGGGGGCTCATGCTGATCGGGGAGTACCTTGGGTGCCTGGCACAAGTGCTACATAAGACTTGGAAGCCATTGGAAATAGACGTTTTGTTCAGTCCGCCATGGGTAGTTCTCAAGCGCTGCTTCATACATACCCTACATTGGAATAGCAAGAGTGTGAAACTTCCGATGGGGTAGGGCACGTGTCTTTGGAGAAATTGAATGGGCGGCTCGTGCTTACATTGACTCACGCTTATTGTTGCTCGTGCCCCAACCGACGTTGGCTTTGGGAGAGCAACACCTATTCTTCGATAGTCATTTGGTGCTCCGTGTACTATTGTACAGCTGATGATGATAAATATAAGCCCGTGCTCACATGCTCCCACCGCACACACGTAACGTGGGCGCTTGGCGTTGAATCAAAGCATAATATGTTCCTCGAAGATAGCTGCCTACATGGATGGGGCGCTGCCTATTATGTAATAATCTGAGGGAGCCCCCAAAGACACCCACTGCAAAAGATCTCGCAAACCTTTACTACGTACGCAACTCATCCCTGATGTCAGATCCTTCTGCGAGGGTAGAGAATCTGCGAAACAAATGCCTGGACCAGAGCAACTACGAGTCTACTGGCTGGTCTGGAATCAGGTGTAAGCTATCGCTCTAGATTGTGTAGCACTTTGGCTTCCCACCGAAAGAGCTCACCTTTTGCCTAAAAAGACCATCGATTCTGAATGTCTAGTCTTCTTTAAGTCGACTCTTGCTTACATGAGTGTTTCAAATAAAGTGTATCGACACCCTGAAAAGTTCAGCGCCGCACGCCGCAGTGGCAATAGCACCATTAAGAGCGCGTGTGCATCAAGTGTTCGAATGCTACTTGCATGTCTGACCTGCTGCATTGATGTGCATTTACCATTGTGCTGTTGTTGGTTCAGAAGGCAAATGTCAAATGCTATTGAGCATTCAGCATTGATTGCCGTGCCCCCCCCCCCTGCCCACCGTGAAAGAATCGCCTGAGGGCGCAACAATACTTCTTCATAGGGTAGACTAGGGTACCAAGGGTCCACTACAATCCTCGCCCACACATGGGCCCGGCCCAAATATTGCTCAGAATTGCAATTTCTGAGTAAGGAAATTACATAGTGGAAATCTCTGTATGTCATTGATTTAGACTTGCGCTGGTGTCGAATTGGTTTGACATTGGTTTTGTACTAGTATTGGCTCTCAAACATTCCCGAATTTGCTGGTTTTGATCGGGTCCTATCAAATTAAGTATTTGGGAGATATAGGGTTCTGAGGAAAATGAGTGGCATTTAGTGATAGGGGGCGTTTGTTAATAGGGGGGGGATTATGCAGAAATAAGTCTGAGGGATCTGGAATACTTCCTGGAGCCTGGCAATCTGAAACTACCAAAGTTGGGGTCTAGCCAGTTCAGAACGATTCACACCAAATTTCCATGAGACATGCGTTCACAACAGTTCGGAACGGCGAGGATTCCAAGAAGAAGGCAACAAAGCAGTGACCATCCATCTATTCGATACATGAATTAGTTCTCCAGAGTGAGCTCACTGCCTCGACGTAACTCCGCTGCTCGGAGTGGCTCCGAATGAGCTCCGCGCCTCAGCTGGTCATGAAGCACATGTCTGCCTGCCCACGTGAAACCAATAGGCAAGTTGCATCATGTAAGCCAGCATCGCGCGGCGAGCGGAAACATCAATCAACCTTAGGCATGGATGGCTTGTTACATTTGATGCTGCTGCTGATGATGCACTTATTTTCACTTTGTAAGATGTACAAGCACGGGAGGCAAACCAGACAAACCAGTACTGACCCCGCATACCGAGAACAAACACCTTCTCTTAACAGTTCTTTGGGTAGCAATGGGTCATTTCATGAAACACAACAATGCACATAATAAGTCTTATGGCAGGACCATGGCTTCGCAAAAATCGAAGGTTGAATTGTCCAAGTCTCTGAGCCAAGGAGGGGCCACCAGTCCAACGAATCATCCCAATGCAAATCGGTGGACCCCCGAGAGACGTTCCATTGGCCTCATGAAAAGAAAAGGGTGCCATCAACCAAAAAAACACCAGCTTCCTAATGGCAAGGAGGTAGCCATAGCATCAAAAAGCAGAACAACACGCCCAGCTTGGAGCAAGATACGATGAGTAGTTGGCCAGCGGCTGTCAACTGATAGAATTCTACCGATGCAACATGAGCGCTCTGCAACATGGCGTCTCAAAGCTGTAGGGGTGTCTCCAACTGGTTGTGTCGCATGCAAAGGTGGAATTTGTCTAATTATCCGAAAGGGGACGTCCGCGGAATATTAATATTCTCCTCAAAAAGCTCAAGCTCAATCAACTCTAGCTTTCTCCATGCACACTTGGTGAGGGTAAAGTAAGAAAACACCAACCCATTTCGTGCAGGTTGCCTACCACACAATGGAACCTTGCGAAGCTTCCCCCCTAAGCCTTCCCGCAAGCAAGCTGGGGGCAAAGAGCAATTGCTGAGGGTAAGGAATGTTACCTGCATTCCGGCGGCGACGATGGGCGTTCCAAGAGCGCGACGTCTGCTTCTTGCCCAATACTCCTCGCTGCAAAGACAGGGCTGGTCCCAAGACACATCAAAAGCTTCGAATGGTTGTTGCAATAAAAACGGCAAAGCACCAATCAACACAAACTAGCTTGCTGTTGCAATGTGATGGCTTTGCCGTACGAATCAAAGTTGATTAAACTCCAAGCAGCAAGTGCAGGAAGGGGAAACGTACTCAGCTTGCATCAAACCT